CCTTTATCTGCTGAGCCAGCTCCTGGCCCAGGCACCTACTTTTAAAAGCAGCCAGGATCTGTCAGTCATTCCCCCCATGGTGCCTCGTTCACCCACCCTTTCATCCCAGTTACTTGCACATTTATTCTCACCTCCAAATTTTCAGATCAGGTGTGCCCCGTGGGTGTATAACTCTAACATTTAAGGTCCTTGGAAGAGCCAAAAGTGTGATGGAAGGGGGCACGTTTGCATTTTAAATCGTTAGATCGCTGCCGTGAGTACTGTGGATATTCAAGGGGGCCTGGGCATGGGGTTTGGGAATACAGGCTGATTATCCAATATGATGACTGAAGACTTTTTCAGTGTTTTCTAACGGTCTCGGCAAGCTTCCCTGCCACCCTTCATCCCTTCAGTGATCTCTCCTACACAAGACTTACAGATTCAGATTCTAAAATTAGTGCTCCTGGTTTAGGAGCCAAGACATTAGATCCCAGTAGATACGAGGCGCTGGGGAGCTTGACCCAGTTCTCTTTTAAACCCTAGAATTATGTGATCGGATTACCAATCAAATCAGTGTGAGAATGGACTGGAAAGAGGCGAGCCAGAAGCCTATCAGGAGGGCCAATAGTTCACATGGAAACTGTGGGTGCCTGAAGCAGGGCAATGGCCTGTGATGGAAGCGATGGGGGGTAGGATTAGCTGGAACTGGCAATTGGCTGACTGTTAAAAGAGAGTAGGATCTAGACTGCTTGGCTGCTTCTGCTGGGGGCAATCAGATGGAGAGCCATACCGTCTTCTAGCAGCTGGCTGCCTGGGCAAGAGAATCATCTGAATCGTGTTTATCAATTTGGGGATGGTGGGTTAGCTGGAGTGGGAACTTTGGAATTAGTACAGTCAGTCGAGAGAGGAGTCTAAGGACAGTTTAGAGGCCAGTGGGTGAGGGAGGAAGCTGAAGGAAGTGGAGAAGTGGCCAGGGGTACAGAAGTAGAATGCAGAGTGACAACCCGCAGTCGAGGGAGCCGAGGGTTCCAAGAGTGAAGGCTGGTGTCAGGTGTGAAACCAGCAGGTGCAAACCCACGCAGTGAACTGAGCTGAGGAGAGGGAAGGACTGGCAGAAATGTGGAGCCACTCAGGCCAACGAGACGTAGTGGGGACGGTATGGACGGCTTGGAAAGTATGTTGCTTTCATAAATAAGCTGGGGATGGGAATCCGAAAGTTTTGTCTTCAGTTTTGAATAGCAGTGGGACGTGGCAACACATACCTATAATCCCAGGACTGGGAGGCACAAGCAAGAGGATCAGAGAGGTTCTTGGACTAACCTGGGCTGCATGAGACCCTGTCTAACCCCTTCCCCCACCAGATTTTTTTTTTTTCAGTTTTACCCCAGTATCTTTCTTTTCTCTACTGAGCCAGGTCTCGAGGACATGAAGTCTGGAGCTGCTGTAGTCCCCTTAAAAGATGAGTCAGTGAGCCGAGAGGACACCGAGGTCCTGTCCACTGCGAATTTCAAGCCCTAGGTTCCAGGTGTCTCTTGATGACTTGGTGGAGTTGCTGCCGATCTGAGATCACCTTTCTTTGGTCTTTCTTTCACTTCCTATTCAGTCCCCAAAGTTACTCAGGTTACTCCCCAACCCTCCTCCAGACAGGGTTTCTCCATGTAGCCCTGGCTGTCCTAGAGCTCACTCGGTTGACCAGGCTGGCTTAGAACTCAAAGGTCCTCATCCCGAGTGCTGGGACTAGAAGCGTGTGCCACCATGGCTGGGCATCCAGGTTACTTTTCAAACAAGATCAGGGTACCCATAACCTTTTCAGGATGTTGACACAAGCCACCTGTCCAGTGCTGTCCTGGGAAAGTTGTTTCTTCTCACATCATGTCTAATCTGTTTGCAGTTCTTCCCCACCCCCTACCCCCCACCCCTGGAACTGAGGACCAATACCAAGGCCTCTACCACTGAGCTAAATCCCCAATCCTTGTTTGCAGTTCTTGCTGCCTCTATCTCAGCAGGGCTCTAGTATTCTGCCCTCTTTTCTACTGCTTGCCAATCCCTTCCTTTCCCCTCCTCTAGAATATTACATGAACTTGATAATTAGACTTCTTGCTTCTACCCCTCCCCTGCCCCACACCCCCAATTTTCCAATCTGTTCATGATACTCATTGTATTTGGGCTTTTCTTGACTACTTTTTAAGGCTCTTCCTTCTTAGGTTGCCCCTTGCACAGGCCGGGTACTTCATTCACAGTCACCTGGGGATGCCTCCGTTTGTGCCTGCTGGGTACTTATGCAATAGCTCCCTTGCAAATCTCTCTTTTCTTTCTACAGCTTGCCAAATTCCAGAGAAAAGTGTGTGTAAATTCTAGGGGAAAGAATGCCATCTGGAGTCTTGTTTCATACTAATATCCGTTGCGGTAGTGCCCGCAACAAATACCAAAATGAGCAAACTGGAAATCCTAGGGAGATTTGCTTCCTAGTAGATCAGTAGGGGTAGTAACCTTGGTGAGAAGCTATTGAGAGAGCTGATGGGTGTTTCTTGGTTGGGAGGCTTGCTTGGCTGGACTTCACCCAGAGAGATGGAGACTAGACTTCCCCAATCTTTACTTCCATGGAAAGTGACTA